TTTCTGCTTGACTTCCTTTGTGCCTGGTTTAATCATGAGCTTGTGTTCTATGATTTTCCAGTCTACGCCTACCATGTCTGTGGGCGCCCATGCAAACACGTGTTTGTACCGTCTGAGGAGGTCCACAAGCGCCTGTCTGGTGTGCCCTGGGAGGTTGTGGCCGATGCTAAACGTCTGATCGGGGTATTCTTCGTTGATCACTTCCTTCTCGCCTGCCGGTCCGCTCCGTGCTTTTTTGGTTTCTCTTGTCATTTCAGCTGGCTGCATGATTGCGAAACATTGCAGTTGTTTTGGCGGTGTGACCAGGATTATAGTCGGTCCATCGCTAGTGTTGAACTTCACTATCCCGTGCATTGTTGACGGGATCGCTCCCAACTTAAGCAGAGTTGGCCTGCCCAAGATGATGTTATGTTCAACTCAATGTCGGATGACTACAAAATTGACCAAAACCGTTTTCCTCTGCTGCTTATCATGGCTAGTCAGCATAAGGGGGAAATGGATGGTTCCTAATGGCCATAGACTGTGTCCCGTGAATCCGACCAACCTTCCCGCTGTAGGTTTCAAACCACCCTTCCACTTGTCTGGGAGTAGACGAAAGCAGTGTTTGTAGATGATGTCCGCTGAGCTTCCTGTGTCGATGTACACTCTGTGTATAACCACGTCCTTGATAGAGGCTTGGATTACGAACTGGATTATCACCTGTCCAACCTTTCGGCCTGGGATCCTGTGCCGAGAATGTGAGCACTTTGTGTCGCATCTGCAGGGTTCTCTGTTCGGGTAGTTCCTTCGTGTCTCCCCCTCTTGCCACATATCATGAATATTTCTTTGGGCTGAATGCCCTCCTTCGGAGCTCCTTTGGCATTTTATGTGTCGAATTTGGCACGCAGAGTACGGGCTATCTCCATAAGGTCACCCTTAAGTTTTTTCTCCTCCATCTCTTTCTTAAGGACCGAGTAATTAGCGGTATCGTGCGTTTTGCTCTTATGTTATTCGTAGTACCGTCCTTTTGGTGCCTTTTCTCGTTGCTTGTCTGCGACCGCATATACCTCTGGCCGTCGGCTTCATCTGTCGTCTCTAACAAATGGCCTGAAGCGCCCCATTGGTCTCTTTCCTCGTCCGAAATATTTGCTTCCTCCCGGCATTTCTACGTGGGTTGGGTTATAGCGTTTGACTGTCATGGCGCTCAGATACGCTTGCTTCGCCGCCTCGCCTTCCTCTTGTCTTAGATACCTCTCCACCCTTTACTTCAAATCGGCTCTTGTCTGCGGTTTTTTGCCCATGAGTTTTTGTGACAAAGGACCTGGCAGGAGTCCCCATGTGAAAGCTCCTGCTATAAGGCCTTCGTCATGACCTGACACATTTAACGTGGCATTCGTAAACCACGTGAAATATTCTCTTACCGTCCCCACTCCTTTTGCTCACAACCAATGATGGAGTGGGAGTCACCTTTGTACTTACGCAATTTCATGAAGTTTGTAAGGAAGAGATATTTGAGTTGGCCAAAGTTGTGGATGCTACTCGGTCGTAATGTTTTGAACCACGTGCCTGCATTTCCATCTAGGGTTGTTGGGAAGTATATGCACCAGAAACGCTCGTCTAACTTTAACGATGTCATCGTCCATTTGTACGTATCAATGTGGTTATCCGGATCGGTTGTACCGTTGTAGGTTTTCAAGTTGGGGAGTTTTGTTGTGTTTGGGATTTTGTAATCTAGCAGCTCCTTGGAAAATGGAGATGTAACACTCCGCGACAGGCAATCCTGATTAGGTATGGCTAGCAGGCCTTGCGCATCATACTGGTGCGGCGTGCTATACGACGATGCTCCCAGATGACCGAAGAATGCCTGATACCCCAGGTTGGGACCATAGAAGGCTTGTTGCAGGAACAACAGTTGTAACGAGTATCATGGATGCATGAGCGGAGATTGGGTTGGGAGTTGTGTTGGTATAGGTTGCTGCCGGCTCATATTCGTGATTACCAGAGATTCGCCCCAAGTGCCTGTTGTATAGTAGGAAACCGATGATGGTGCTGTCATGACTTGTACGAGCGGTGTGAGCGTCGACTGTGTGCTTGTTGGTATCTGGCTTTGTGGCAGCACATGAAATGTCGGTTGGGTGTTCGGTGTTTGGTGGATTGCCATCCCTGCTGAAAAAAAGGGGAGTTAGTGTTGTACCACCGGGGTAAAAATGGTGATGTTTGGTTTACTGAGAATTGTGTCGTCGTTGGCTGAAATTTCAACAGCGTTGGAAGATGTGTGGCCGACGGTATCGTCCCCAAGGTTGGCTACGGTTGTTGAGGTGGTGGTTGAGCGGCGGTTTCAGTGTTCGCTTCCGATGGTGCGGGAAGCGGTTGGGCTAACTGTCGGCTTGTTGGTGGCACCGTGGTTAGCACAGAGCTTCCCCCCTGGTGGCTTCTTTGGTGGTCGTTATAGGTGTTGGCATGTCGGCCAACGGTGTCATGGAGCGTATGGGGCTGTTCTGAACTCATTCGACTCTGTTGCCGCCGTCAGATGCCATGGATTCTATTGAACGGTGGTTTTGGTTTTGTTCTTCGTCACACAAAACGGATGGCGCCAAATGATGTGACCTTGCTTCGATGCTCTGGTGTGGTGCTGGGAAGTATTTGCAAGGTCATAAGAGAAAATCGTCGTCAGTCGCTTCCTGGGAGGAGACTCCCAGAAGAACGCTCTGACGGTTGTAACATCCGGATTTCCCGGCATGACAATTTGTGTAATTCTTATTGAGATATGAGAAGTGACTCGACGAGTTGACACCTCAAGTCGTCGAGTAGGATCATGACTCGGTGACCTGGTTAATGAAGGGACTCGACGAGTCGAGTATCTGACTCGCCGAGTCAGCACTGTTAAGGAAAAACCCTAATTGTTCGGGTTTGGGACCTATTTAAAGGACCTTATGGCCTTCTGTGGCAGCCACCTGCACCCTTGAGAGACTCCTTTCGAACCAGAGATCTTAGAGAGTGAAGAAGAACCATCTTGAGTCTTTTTGGTGTGACATTTCAAATAGTAGGAGAGTTCTAGCAAGAGGGACTAAAGGGGGTTGATGTTCTGAGACTTTGAAGCATGGAGTTTCACTTTGAGGTAACAAAATTGGACCTTTCCTTCTGTATGGTGTTGATTGCATGAATCTAGGGTTTCTTGACCCTTTTTCTTTAAAGGAATAGGGAGTATATGAGGTCCCAATGTGGAATAAGCCTTAGATCAATACCTTAAAAGGTCCAGAGAGTCCCAACCTTCCAGCTTTATGCAATCCCTTTGGGGTGATGGATTTAGGTTGTCATTTTAAGAGCTATTTCATCATTTAAAGACATATGAGCGTTGCATGAGCTTAAAGATTGAGCCTTTACACGGTTATTGGGTGTTAGAAGGTCAAATCTATAAGTTAGTGAAGCAGATCTGACCTCAAAAGATCATTTAAGTGTTGCCATGGAGGAAACTCGCCGAGTCCATATGGGAACTCGATGAGTCGAGTCAGGTTGCCCCACGATTCGTGTCTAGTGGTAACCCATCAAGTGAAAGGCTATCTCAACGAGTCGAGTGAGGCCTTAAGAGGATTCTGAGAACACGCGTGGACTCACCGAGTCACCCGAGTGCACTCGACGAGTCTGGTCAAAGTTTGACCGTTGACTAGAGTTGACTTCAGTTGACCTAAGGGTTTTGGTCAAGCTGATTTAAGAGAGGTCAGGATAGGGTAGAATGGTCTTCTACCCATTCTTTAAAGTTGAGGACAAGACAAAATATTGATTAGAGATGTTATCATTTTGATAGGGGAGTCTAGGTCGGGTTATCGATCACAAGAGGATATCCGACATCATCCGAGGTGAGTCTTCTCACTATACATTACCTTGAGTGGTAGTTATGTGTGACCGGAAGGTCTTATGTGCTTACATTAAGTATTATTTTATCCTGTTGTATGTGACATGCTATGCATTATGTCTTTGTGATTTATGCTATGCGGAGTTTATAGATCGGACCGGAGGGTCCAACGATATAGACTGGACCGGAGGATCCAACGAGTTACGGGGTTGGAGAGTCTCGTTGAGACACATCAACCGGAAGGTCGTATTGAGATATAGCCTCGAGCGGCGTATGTGTTGTATGTGGTATTTTGGGGAACTCACTAAGCTTCGTGCTTACCGTGTTATGTGCTATGTGTTTTAGGTTTTCTCAGTATCTCGGAACGGCACCGACTTGATTGTACACACCAGAGAAAGAATTATATTTCGAGGATCCTGGATTATTAAGTAATTAATAAAGGATTATGTTTTGTAAGCCAATAATCGAGTTTTACGAAATGTGATATGATAGTTATATGATTTTAAATGAAAATTTTGTTTTGAATTTTGCGTTGTTACAACGTTCAAGTTAGATGGTGTTTAGGGTATTTCTGATAGGAATAGCTTGGTGAAGAGTGCTTACCTTTAGGGGCTCCTGATAGCGCCCTTTTATACCTAGCGACCATGCTCGTCCGTACGGGACACGATCGCTTTTAGGGGACAATGTGAGAGGTGCTGATTGGGGGATTTTGCGCCTCTTTCTGTCAGAGTACTGTCATTGGCTCCGGCGGTAATGCTATGATCCTTTGCCTTGCCGCTTGACCGTATCCTTTGTCTTGATGCCGGGAGCGTCCCTGGCGGGCGCGAGCCTTTCACCGGGGTGCCCTGCTCTTAGGGATGTTAGCGGGCGCTGAGCCCGCTTCTCTTTGGCTTGGCCAGGGCGCCAGGTTTCTTGGCCGGACGTGACTCTTCCGTGTCGGCTTAGGCACGTCATCAATTATTATTATTATTTGAAATAGACAAATCTTCAAAAATGGTTCCTATGTTTTCCAAAAAAATTTGAGTTTAATCCTTTTAACTTTTTAGGTCATCAAGATTGTTTTTTGTGGTTTCAAAACTTTTAAAGGATGGTCCTTAACTCTAAGTTTTTTTTTTTTTTTTTTTTTAAGTCTAATAAAGTAAGGTATAAATTTTGAACTTTTTTTCAGTTTTATAAGGGTGCGATGGGGTGTTCGATGTATTGCTTATGGTGGGTTTAAGGTGGATGAAGGTGGGGTTAAGATGGTGATTTTGATGTTTGAGAGGGTAGCGATGGTGGTGATAATAGGTGGAGGGAGACGACAATCTAATGGTCAGGTGTGGGGAGGGGAATTACTTTATAATTTTTTAAATAATAAAATCATATATATATATATATATATCTTTACTATCTTATAAAAGAAATCTAACTATTTCTATAAATAGATTGATTATAATAATAATATTTTTTAAGACGTCCAAATGATGAAGCTGATAGTACAAGTAACCATTAATAAAATAATATTAAATTTTAACCAAATTTTGAATTCAAATATTTATCATCAAATCTCCTTATATTTCTCAGCAATTTGATATGGTTCCCTCAAATCCCGGATTCATTCAAATTTTGAACCCTTTTAGATATCCTTAAATTTAGCATGTTGATTCAAATATCCCTCCAATCGCATATACCTCTTTGTTCCTTTCTCTGTTATAAAGTCTACCGTCCAGGAACAAAAAATGACTTCATCTCCCAAATAACATCATAGTTTGATTATTTTGTCTTCGACATGTACTTTCTTTTGTAACATAACATTTTTATAGAGGAAACATATCATCGAAAGAATTTACACGCCTCGCCGCTTTGCGCGGGTACACTGCTAGTGTATATATATATATATATATATATATATATATATATATATATATATATATATATATAAACCTTGTTTTTCTTAGCACACGTTCATCCAATTTACATAGTTTACTAGACACCATGTTACTTATCTTTTCGAACAACGCTACACAAATCATTGTCGATTCAAATCGCCTCTACCTCACCTCATGATCCAGTATGTTGTATCTATCACCTTCAATATATTATGGATTCATATGCTCATGTTAGGTTTTGATGATAATCACCTTAATTGGTGAATCGTATATTAGGAAGTATGTATAGAACAAAATACAACAAACTTCCTAATTTATATGATTTACACAATCACATCCTATTAATTAGGGTACGATAAAATCAATAATCTTATTAATAAATAGTATACGAAACCATATGATATCTATACTATGCGGTGTAAAATGCATGTATTAAACAACTTAGGTTATAGGAATTAAACTCTCACTAGTAAGGAGTGGTAATAAGTAGAATAACATTGTCTCTTTAAAATAGGACAAAGTGATGGTCACTAAATATTTTTCTACAAAATACTTATTCATTATATAATAATAATAATAATAATAATAATAATAATTTTAGGAGTGTCACTGAAACCAATAGAGGGGTAATTTTAGAAGAAAATGACTTTGGAGGATAAACAGCCGTTGATTTTATCCACATTTAATCTATTTTTTTGTACGCAATAATGTAGTATACCATCATAAACATAACTTATTTGTAATATTATGCTTATTAACAAGTTATTTTTTTCATGAGTAAATTCTTCGTAAAAATAACTTATTTGTAATATTATGCTTATTAACAAAAAAAACATAGCATCATTTATCATTATAAAGATTCCACAATAAAAAACGATATATCCTATCAAACTTGTTATTTGTGAGTGAACAAATTATTTCTCATGAGTAATGATTAATTGTGAGCAATATAATGACAATATTGAAACCAAGAACAAATAATATCGACACCAAGAAAAATAGAAGTTTTGATTTTATTCATTTTCCTTTTTTGTACGCAATATACCATCGAACTTGTTGTTTGTTTTTATCATGATTCTTTTGATCAGCTATCACAGGTTATAACCGATCAAAAAGATTATGGGGAATACAAACAACAAATTAAATGACCAGATATATAGATAACAAAAAGACCAGATACTAATAAAATACATCTGTTATTTTTCAGGAGTGGTAACTAAGTATGTAACAACAGTTACAGACAATGTTCTACAATAACATAAAACGTGATTTGATGGCAATTTCAAACCTTAAGTTTTTCCGAATTTGGCAACTCACGTAGTTTCTAAAGCGTAACTTAAGAAGACAATATATTTTTTTTTTATTATCATGTATTTTCAACTATTACAGCATTTTAGTAAATACAAGCTTTTGAGAACTTTGGGTACAGACTTACAGGTGTCACAAAAGGGGTAATTTTAGCAAGCTGTGGAATCCATTACTTCCCTCGTTTCTTGACATCCTCCGAGAAAACCCTAACACAGGTCAACACTTCATCATCTACTTCGTAAGCGTGCAATCGACTAGTGTTATCATCATTCCTACTTAATTTGTACCATAATCGAGCCATTATGCCTCATTTTCATAAATTTGTTAAGCCTTTTTTTTTTTGCTTACTTTCCAATACGATATAACAATCAGTAGCTCGGTATTAATTGCATGTACCTTTTTCTACCTTTAAATGTCAATGTATGTTCGGGAATTGCTTTGTATCGAAATTACATCGTTGTGATGGCTAGCGATATAGCTGATCTCACTGCGTAGATGAATACCCCTAACCCTAACATTGGGTTAGTCGTTGTGCTATTTGCATCAATAGCTGACTGGAGAAAGGGATTGATAAAACTTTCCGATTAACATTTCACTTAAATTGAAGCACAGTAGGACTGATCTGAGTAATGAGCTTGGTTCTTATAATGGTCTTAGCAGCAAGGAGTTGGAATTTTTTTCATGATATCTTCTCTGTGTTCATTGGTTTCAGTTTTCTCATAAATTCAGTCTTGTCTCTTCTCTGATTGCTTAGCTAAACATGTATAACGTAATGTAAGTATATTTGATTTTTGCTTATCCAACTTTGCTTATAGGGAATATAACATTTAACAATGAAGCGAAAGCGTGCATATTCAAGGGCCAAAAATAAAACGGCAGTGGTGAAGAAGCCACTCCAAAATACTGCTGCTCTAGTGGCAGAAAATCATGTGATGAATGTTGAATCAGAAGAACCTGAAGATGCTACACCACTGCGCGAGGAACCTGTAAATCCAAGTACTAGTACTACCATGAAGAGGGGCACACAAGAAGATGCAGAGATAGAAAAAACTGGTTATGGGGAGATGCTAAGTCATCCAAATGCATTGAGTCAAATCATTGCAAGTGTTATTAAAGAGATTACTAAAGATGCTGGTGGCCTAACTAACCTTTCAAGGAGCTTGATTGGTAACTCAGTCAGCAATGGACAGATGAAGCAACCTCATGCTGACATTGATCATGAGGAAAACCAAAGCCAACATCATCAAAATCCAGAATATAAACAGGAAGAATTGAATGCTGCATTAAGAGTATGGTTTGTTATATCATATAGTGTACATTAGTTGTATTTTGTACAAACTCATATAGATGTTATTTTTCTACACTAGGTGATCAAAAGGACCATGAAATTGAATGCAGCTGAACCATTTAACAAACCTGTAGATCCCATTGCACTTGGAATTCCTGTAAGCATAAATTATTTCTGTAAATACATGCTTTTGTTAACAGTGTCTAGTGATGTTTTCTTCTTTTGTATTTATAGAATCATTGTTTTTGTTGTGCATTCTTTTATCATATAATGATTTGGGTGGAGGTTGAACCAGGATTACTTTGATGTTATCGAGACACCAATGGATTTTGGTACGATATGCAACAACCTTGAGAATGGTGTAAAGTACATGAATTCAGGAGATGTGTTTAAGGATGTAGAATATATTTGGTCTAATTGTGTCAAGTATAATAAGAAGGGTGATGCTATATTAGAGCTCATGAAGAGGGTGAAGACATACTTCATGAAGTACTGGAAATCAGCCAAATTACAAAGCAAAAAATCACCGCCTGTTGTTGGTAAGGGCCACTTTGTTATCCTTCTTTATTCCATGTATTTATATTACTTTGCTTGATTTTGTCTACTTTTTTTTTATATTTTTTTTAAATATACTTTTATGAATGCAGAAGTTACCATGGTCATGATAGTGAAGTCTATAGCTTTATATTTCTTCCTATGTATTTATGGGTGTCTTTCATTAGCAAAAAAAGATCATATATTCCAAACATAGGATCTTGTAACCGTTGTTTGATAATACTTTTTCTATTGACATTTTCTTGATTTTGATTCACAACACAACTGAAACATGTTTGACAAGACTTCTTTTTCTTTTTCTTTATTACTTTTGGTAAAACTAGTTTTGTAGACCATGAAAACTTCAAAACCATGTTTACCTTATATAACCAATTACAAATTTGTAAGCTTTTTGGTTTTTTGAGATGATATAAACACTTGCAAGACGTCATTTTTGATCAAGGTTCCGCTTTTTGATGAGCAGAGTCTTCTGTCTTGAGGCACAAAGAAGAAGAGAAAGAAAAGCCACAAACTTCAGTTGCCAATAATTCTGCTCATTTGCAGCAAAAGGAGACTGGTCAACCCCAACAGAACTCCAACCAGCCACAATCTTCATCTTCAACAGAAGAAGATGAGCCTAACCCTGGTACCTAATCCTTGTTACATATCTACAAAATTCATTATCTTTTATAATAAATAAAGCATATGTGTAACTTGGTTATAATAACTATAATTGGCTGAAAATTAGAATCTACAGTTGTTAAGAAGAAGCGCCGATTTCAAGGACCTACCCCTTCCCCTGAATTAGTCAAACGGATAAAAATTAGAACCAATAAACGTGGGAAGCCCGTGGGTCCCGGGGCAGCCCAATTAACCAGTTTGTTGGGTGCCATTGCATGTGATGTGAACTTTGCTCCCCTTACTTATTATGATTGGAAGAAAATCCCACAACAGAACAAAGACAACATGTGGCAGGAAGTTCTGGTAGGGTATAATCTTAAAGAAACCTTTTCACATTTTTTTTTCTTATCTCTTTTGGTAATTTTTAAATAATATATTATTATTATTATTATATGTTATAGACCAAGTTCGATATCGACCCTGATTGTCGAAGATGGGTGATGTTGTCCATTAAGAAAAATTGGAGGACTTTCAAGTCCCACCTTAAGGCTAATCATTATGATGTTCATGAGAATGATGAAGATCGCCTTGCAGACCGTGATGAGCGGGTCCCACCTGATCAGTGGTCGGCCCTTGTTTCTCAGTGGAGCTCCAAGAAATCGCAGGTTTGTGTCATATTCCATGAATTTAAAGATCTGGTTAATTGCAAGAAATAGCAATGTACTTTCATTGATTTGTTTCTTATAGCATCCCGCTTTTATTTACTCTTATCACAACATTGTAGTCTCAGAAATCAACCTACTTACTTATAGCTATGCCATCCAAATACAAAGCAACATGTGGATTTTTCAAAGTATGATGTCCTAAAAAGAAAAAAGTACATTGCTATAATTTGGTAGTTTTCTTTTTTTGTCAGAAAAATGTTGTGATAGAAAGAAATGAAAGCCAAGTATGCTATCATAAACAAATAAATGAAAGTAAAAGTATGCTAATGATGTATACTTTATCTCCAATTTTCCAGAATACTTCTACCAAATTGAAAGCTACTTGTGCTAGGATAAAATTCAGTCAAGTAGCAGGAAATAGGCCTTTAACGACACACGAACTATTTCACACACTAATTTTATGACATACAAAAATGTATGTCATGTTTTAGTGTCATAATAAAAAAAAAAAAGGAAAAACACTGAGTACACTTCATCAACTATGTATGTTGTCTTATGTATGTCGTCTTTTATTTTATTTTCGCTCTTTCTAGATATCGATGAGTTCTTTGTAAAAAAAATATATAAATAAAATTAAGACATGCTTTCTGTTATATATTTTTTGATAAATTACGTATAAAGTGTAAGATAGAAAAAGTGACATAGCTAAAACCTTATACATACTTACATTGAAAAAGTGCAAATGCAAATTCAAAAAGTTTTAAAATATGTATTTGATAATGATGTTAAAAGGGAACAATATCAACTTGGTCAACCAGTCACGTGCAGGCCTCCTTTTATCCTTCAGTTATTTTCTTTAAGTTTCAGTAATTGCTTTGTTGAATTAGTCAACCTAGTGGGTAGTTTGTTTTCATAGCCTTTTCCTGTTTTCTAGGTAGCAGCAGTTTCCCTTTTACACTTATGTTTTTATGCTATGTAGCTGTAGTTATTTTAGAATATATGCAGAAAACACTTTTGTGTGTCAGTTACTCTTTCTTCTAAAACTTGCTCTGCTTGAAACCTGCTGTATAAAAAGGTGTTTTGTCTTTGCTAAAGGCTAACAAATGATGGTATAACTAAAATCTTTTTTGTAAACTAATTAAAGGGGGTGTAAATGCTCAAATAGCACAAACATGATAAAATATATAACTAACAACATGAAAGCCAAAGTATCTGACATCTGACATCCAATCCGTTTGAAATGTTGAGAGAAAAGAAAATTATATCTTCATCTTTATTTGAGTACTGAAAAATTAATGCCACCATTCCTTTGTAACTATGACTAATTATATTTCGCTTTCGCTTGTGTTCATACATAAATACAAGCTTTAGAATATGAACAAGGGTGTATGATGTATGAAACAAACATATGCTTAAGTAAAGCATGAGTATACTGTAACTAACTATGCTATTTGAATCGACACATGTTGAAACAGGTTGCTTTTCGTGACATAGAATCAGGTTCTTCGGATCATGATGAAGACTCCAAACAAAGAGCTCTGATGATAAAATTAAAAGCTATTAAAGAGAAAATAGTAATTACCTACAATAAAAAAGGTGTCCCAATTGGAGATGAAGCAGCAAAACTCGCTACTTTTGAGGGCTTTATAGCAAGAACAATGGTGCCCATAACATGTGCCTCCTGGAAGGATATTAGTAAGGAAAAAAAGGAAGAGTTATGGCAATGTGTTTTGGTAAGTCTAACTTAACATCTGATCTTGACTTGTAATAATTATCTTCGTTTTTGTTGAAAATAATATTGTTTTAAGTTTTATGTTTCAGATGAATTTTGTACTTGACCCAAAGAGTCGGAAGCACACTCTCCAATCGCTTGGGAAAAAGTGGAGAAACTTCAAACATTATCTATATGATAAATACATTAAGGCATATAAAAATGACCCTGAGGTGAATTTACTCAATCCTCCCGATAAGTATCCATTCTTGAAGAAAGAAGACTGGAAACTTTTTGTAGAACAAAGACTTTCAGACAAGTGGGAGGTTTGTTAAACTTTTTGTGTCTGTATTTGTTCAATGTTCATTGAGTTTTAAAAACAATTTTAATGTTTCTAATGCAGGAAAAAAGTAATGATGCTAAAAAAGTCCGTGCTCATCATAAATACAATCATCGTTTGAGCAGAAAAGGATATGCCAGACTCATTGTTGAGATTGTATGAATTAAATTAATCGAATAGTTTACTTGTATCTGTTTATGTTAATTGACTTAATTCATATTTGTTATTCTTGATAATTTAGATGCAACAAACGGGGAAGACAGAAGAGGAGATTGATAGAACAATGTTGTGGAAAAAAGCAAGAGAAACAAAAGAAGGAGGTTACGACCCTGACGTCAAGGTGATTGTTGATAAAATGGTAAGTTTATTCTATTTTGATTTTAAATTCATTCGTATATCATGCTATTTGTTTATACACCTACTCCAGACAGTGGAAAAAATCACAAGGGTGTTTTAGGAAGCTCTAAAACTACAATTGGACCATTTCTGTTATTTTTGTTGTGTACAGGGACTGTATCCATGTCCACACAGCAAAGATCAAACTTATAGCATCCTACTTATAAGCATCACACACACATCACAACATATTTAAATATTTTTAAAAAACCTTGTTAGTTTGGTCAGGTTGGTGATTTTCTTTGGTTTAGGCGCAAGATGGAATATTT